TTTTTAGCGTAAGGATTTTAGAAAAAAGTATCGTCTTATAGTCGGAAAAATATGGTAACTGTGTTCCTAAATTCCTTATTGTAAAAATCCATAGTAATGGAAGAACTATTTGTTGTTTCTACCTGTCCAATCTGATCCGGCAGGATAGTAATGCTCTGGGTCCCGTCAGCCAAGGAATGTCGGCTGGCAGGGACCAGGAGATGTGCCTTTTCTGCTGTGGGGCCTGCCCTCTGGATCATCCTCCCTCCTGAGATTAGGATGGCCCCGACCCTTTTGGCTTTTCAAAAGGCCTTGAAGACTCGGCTTTATGCCCAGGCCTGGGGCCCTGAGTGTGCGAAGGGCGCCGTTTCATGGCTGTGCTGATACCGACAGTTTTTAAAGATCTCTTGGCTGTATTTATATTTATATTTAATCTTTTGTATGGTTTTAAGTGTTGACTGTTTTTATTGTTAGCTGCCCAGAGTCACTGGTCTGAGATGGGTGGCTATATAAATTGAATAAATAAACAAACAAACAAATAAATAAAATTGTTTCACACAGGATGGATGCAGCTATGAAACAGAGCAAAATAAATAAATAAGCAAGCTGCAAGAGAGGTCAGTTAAATTACTCTAATATTACAAAAATCATGGTGGCATCTGAGATTGAATCTTGCCTACAGCTATCAAATAATTAAACTGATGACTGAGCTGAGACTTCAACTGCATATTTCCAGATCATGCTTTTAGTCTTATGCTAATTCTGGAGCAGTTTAACAGTTATTAAGAGCCCAGAATTGAGCACATAATTGGTAAATAGATAGATCCTATAATGCAGTCACTATAATACACAGAAGAATGCCTTTGCAGGTTCTAACGATACTTGTAATGGTGGAATAATATACGGTACAGCTGATTTCTCTGTGGGATTCATGTAACACTGGCCACAGTTTTGCCACCTTCTATTGCGTGACATTTTCTGCCACCTAAAATTGTCCTTACTTTTACAGTATCCCAGCACCAAGGTCTCCACCTTTGAATATCCTCCCTGAAGTAGTGACAGAGGCCTTTGGAGTTGCGTTAGTTGGTTATGTGGCATCCCTCGCTCTGGCCCATGACTCTGCTAAAAGATTTAATTACTCTGTGGATGATAACCAGGTAAAAAAATGAATAGCCTTAAAATTTGCCTTCAGGATGCATTTGTTTGGGCATTTGGATGGCATAAGAGATGGGAAGGCAGTCTGAATTCAGTAGAGAGTACTTAGTTCAATGGGACTTTGGTCTAGTCTAACATAACTCTTCCTATATTCTTACTTTTTTTTAAACATTTCCAGGAGTTTTTAGCTCATGGTCTCAGCAATGTGATCCCTTCATTTTTCTTTTGCATACCAAGTGCAGCAGCCATGGGGCGAACCATACTTCTATACAACACTGGAGCAAAAACACAGGTATTCTTATTGCCAGGGTGGTGTGGAGACAATAGCCTGTGTAGAATAACTATTCAACTCAGGGGAGTAATGATTATTGATTAATACACCATGTTTTAAAATCCTGCAAGTCTTAGTATGACTAAGAACCAGATCAGCGTGGTAAAGAAACTTTAAAATGTATAGTAATTGATTCATTTGGCATTTAGAACAGAGTCACATTTATGAAAGGGTATAGCTGCTGTAGAAAACAGCAGTTCCCTCTCTTTTCTTTCTTCTCTGACAACACGATGCTCTATATGTTTGAGAAACGTCTGGCATGACAATTTCTCATCACACAGTCCTTTTTAATATGCAAAAGCAAAGAGAGAAAGGGGGCAAAAATGACAAGAGTTGCTTGTTTTGGATGGCAGCTGTGTGTCTTCCATAATGTATAATTGACTGTAAAATTCCCGAAGGCAAAACAAAGTTTTCTTAAAATGAAGAGTGAGTTAGTCACATCAGAGTACTCTACAGTCTACATAGAGTTGAAGAAGGAAAAGGGAAACTCTTTAAAAAATGTAAATTATTCATATACAAATCAAAATTGAATCATAATTTGTTGAGAGTAAAGAATTCTCTAGTATAGAGAAACATTTCTTAGCACTGGTGTTAGCTTGCTGGGATGACTAGAGCAGTCTTCTCCATTCTGAAGACTTCCAGATATATTAGAACAATATTTCTCAGATTTCCTACCATGGTCAAAAGCCA